TATATATGCATTAATCATGGGAAGCAAGTGCTTAAGAGAGGCAACTCTTCCTCACTGAAAAGACTTCACAGGAGGAACAGTATGGACTTTACAGAAAGGCCGCTTGCCTGGCCAGGTACCGGGACAGCCACTCAGAAGAATGGGGCTGTCCTGGCCACTCTTCTTTCAGCTGATAGCTATGGGGTGATCCAAGTGTGAGCGCCTTTGCTACAGACAACAGTTCCCCTTCTCTTGATGGTGACAGAAATTTGCTGTCAGAAACAAGGCACAGTTTAAATGAATCATTCGTCTATTGCCATCTAGTTGGTATGCTATTTAGTGACTCTCAGAAACAATGGCTGAAAATTACTTTCTGCAAAAACCACAGGAGAACTCAGGCAACAAGAGGTCCATGAGCAATCAAATCAAGTCAAGGACCTCTCAGAGTCCTAATTTTTTCACTTGACCAATGATTCTATCTGCCCTGCCTATTTCAAAGAGTTGTTAAGAAACTGAGATAATGTCTGAGGATGTACTCAGAGAGAGCTGCCCAAGACAGCACTCTGAAAGGGACTCTGAGGGACCAGAACTTTTTTTCGAACAGAGAAAGGAAACAAGGCTAACATACTAAGTTATACTTAAATAAATTAACTATATTTAAAATATGCAACCTTAAAAATACATATATACTTGGTTGTCAAAGATGCTACAATCTAAACGAAAATGGAGATACAACTGCAATATATATTTTGAGAAAAAACATGTTTCAGAAGGACTAGAGCCTTAAATTTGAAGCCTGGCATCTGGATAAAAACAAACAACAGCCCAAATAACACCACCAAAAAATTAGGCAATAAATACCTTCCTATCTTACTGCTTCTTACTCTAATTCAAAATGGCCTGGTAAGAGAGAAAGAAAAATTACATTTCCTGCTGAAAGGCTGGCCCCAATTAAAACTCTAAATGTCTCTTACACTGAGAGCACTGGTTTATTGGCAGATTATTAAGCCTTGGACCAATGTCACTCTGTTAGACCTGTATTAAAAACGTGGTTTATGTGGTACAGGGTCAGATCAGTAAAGAGCTGTTAGCAGATGACAGGTTTGATTACCGTTGGCTGCAGGCAAGACGTATGGATCCCTGAGGAACAGCAGCACTGGCTGGTGGGACAGTTTGCTAGAAAGGTCAAGAATAAGCATGTCAGCATCAGGGGACAACGGTAAACAGAAAACACTACAAACTAGCTTTGAGGGGATCAAACTGCTGGGTGGGGTTGTCTTGAGGTTTATGTATCTCACAGTGCGGGGGGAAAACAGCAAACACAAGGAACACACCAGCACCACACTCATCTTCTGAATGTTTCTTTGTGGAGTCTGAAGCAGATATGCAATCTATACAACACACCATGGCTGAAAAGTCCTTTCTTCAAAGTTTCATAATATGATCATAAAACAGGGCTCCTATTATATAAGACAATGTGGGGCTCCCTTTCCATCACTCCTAATTATAACTGCTTACTCCTGCAGCTCCCTGTCAAACATTCACAATCTTAAAACCAATTTTCTACAAAAGTTTTCCATTAAGTTTATTGGTACATTTTTGGTATAAAATACAGTTACATTTATCATTCGGATCATGTACCTGTACATGACGTATCTTGGTTCTTATTTTTTCCCCATTCCCCTGCCCTCCCTTCACCCCCTCCACCTTTCCCTATTTACAAAGACTTTCTTTCCATTTTTTTCCTTTTCTCATATTTTTTCTTTTCCCTTCTTTC